CAGAAACCTGCTTGTTCTTCAGTGGATAGATATCACATGCGGCGTTCTATTCTCTTCATGCATCTCACGTTCATCTCATACGGTGCTACCTATGGTTACTTTTCATGCGCATGAGTGAGGAGTATATTTCCAAATAGGGCAAAAACATAAAAGTCATCATGCGATGATTCACAATAAATTCATAGTTTACTTGAAATACTCAGCAATATCCTATTTCAGCTATCTTAACGATGAATATCTAAAAGAATGCGAACAATTCTCGTAGTGTCTGCACCCACTAATATTCAGTTTCTTGACTGCACGATAGCGCTGAATCTTCGATTGTACCGTTGTTTTCTAAGATCAACATCCCAAAAACTGCATTTGTTCTCTTCAATGTATCATATCTACAACTCTCTTAATTCCCTGATCACCATCAAACTTTCACGATTCGAGCTTTTCATTTACTCATTGTCGGAAATCTTGCTGAACTTCACCGCAATTGCAGTTTTCTCCTATCCGTCAAAATGCTGCGCTCATTTGTCACCGACGCCGAACTTGGGCAGGCTCTAGCCCTAACCAGCAACTCTCCGTATCTGCTTACAACCCACTATTCGATTCGTCATCAGCTAAGTGGCATCTTCCCAGAAAGTCAATGCTCTGTTTTCGGGTATCCACATCAGGACCCGCAACTTTGGATGATTATACGACGGAACAAATTCACCAGGTGCTTTCATCAAAAAATATTTCTGTTTTTTTTGTTAAACATGATAATTATACATTTATCCTTGTCAGCGAGTGTTGTAAACATCTGGTCATTCTCTCGATCTTTTAATCAAGACCGGGAAGTATCCAAGAGAAACAAAGATCCATGCGAAAGTGATAATGAGATGATAAGGACCATGAGAGACAAAACAACTTAATTGTTCAATCAATATGATACGTTTGAATTATTTCATGTGAAATTTATTATTTACGAGCGAGCGATTATCCATCGTAACAATTTCAGAACACAGGTATTTATGACGAGTCGCACGCAACTATTCGTCAACGAGCAAGATATCGACACATTCCTAATGCTCGCCATGCCATATCTACTCGAACTATCCGAATTCGCTGCACGTATATTGGGCATTCAACTGAGCAAGTACTCATTTAACCAATCGCTCGTACATCTTTAACTGCAACAAGCGAAAAGTTTTTTTTAAATGAAAAATATAAATTTGATTGCGAAGTTTGTAATTTGAAGAAAGAATACAGATTTTAATTATGAAAAATCCATAAAATCATCAGAAAATATGCCGAGTTTCATCACGCAATTATATATTTCTCAAACTGATTGTTCATATACCAAACAAATATCTTAATAGAGCTATTCATATTACATATATGGAGCAATGAATAGATTTTAGAATCATTTATTTATTCAAAAGAACAACAATTTTAAACATTAAATTTGTGCACATTCTAAAAGTTAGATTATTTTTCAGATGCTTCGAGTGTTGCTAAAATGCTGAAGTTTTCTTTGTAAATTTCAGCCGCATGACTG